CCGATCTTTTTAAAGCCTTCTTTTTATCATTTATAACTATTTATAGTGATACTCCGATCAGTATTTTTAGACATTTATTCAGGGCCTGAATTAAATTTTTGAAAATGGGGGGGAATTCTCCTCTTAGGTGTCTCTTGTGAGAGGAGAAGCAGAAGACTGCTTTCACACAGGAGTCCACTACTGATCCGTGACTGTTTACCACAAACACAACATTTATCCATTATTTTGATTTCAAATCCAAAACATTGTCACTGAAAATGCTTTTTCAGCATTGCAATTCTTTTTTTTACACAGAACAGTAATACAGTTTTTCACAGACGTTTAAACAATAAATATAAGCAACATATTATTCAATGCTTTTTACTTTTGCATTTACTTCTAAATTTATATATTAAGTTGCTCAAGTAATTGGCAAAACATTTAAAATACTTTTCTTACGTTATCACAAACTTACCATTGACAGAAATAGTCAGCTCTACTGCCTTTTCTTTTGCATTTAAATCTTTATTACAAGCGGTTCATAAAGAACTTTGTTTTCCTACCTCCTCCTTTATCTAAAAGTGCTCTTTCTCATTAAACCTAGCCAAAAAGCCACATGTGTTGACTGTTGAAACATAGTAGACTTTAATGATATGCATTTATGGTGTAATTACTACATTTTCGTGTCAATCCATGTTCATATTTACTGCAAACAATGCGCTGTTACTTTAATTCAGCGCTTGCAGCGCAGCAATAGACTCGGTGCGGAAACGATCTCTGCACTGCTGCAGATGCACTGCCGGGCCGCAGCTGTGTGCAGTGAATGCTTTAATCCGTTAAAATGAGCGCGGAAAAAATACGCACCGCAAACGGAGTAATGGGAACCTGGCACAATGCAGTGACAATTCCTGTGTCAACTGTGCAGCTCGCTTATAGACAGACGCGATGTGATTTGAAGCCATTTGCGCATTTTGAGAGAGAAAGTGTGAGAGCGCACGCGCGGTAATTCACGCACGCTGTTTGTGAAATTACGGCTCACACAAGGTTTTAAAATGACTTTATAAGTTATTTAATGAAGAAATATGAAGGTGAGGTACTCACTTCATTATTATAAGTATTTCACCCGCGCCGGACCGAGACGGTGCCGCTGCATGTCATGCCAAACCTCCCACGGCAGGCACCAGCTTGAGATCGGCCTTTTATAGAACGTCGATCAAACATCCCAACGTGATTATCGGCTGATAGTGATCGATAGCCGATCAATCGGAGCACCCCTAGTTGTAAGCATAAATTAAACAAACACTTATTTATAGTGACTGATAAAGTTGTATTTCTAATAAATTATAGGAGATATTCATAGTTACAGAGATAATTTTTCTTACAGTAACTTTGGTAACAGGGTTGATAAATGCAGTCAACACTGTACTGTTTGTGTAAAAATGTATTGAGATTATTTTCTTGTCCTCCAATCATGCTGTAGAAAAGAGCCCAAAGGATATCACAATTTTAAGAAATGCTCTATTGGGGAATTCTATATTGAGGAAAACCATTGAGTGAAACATGTAGTACACAGCTAATGCTAAATATTCTTCATTTAAAACCAGCTTAAGCCGTGGTCAATCTAGACTTTGACCATGTGAAATTTCAACAGACACTGAAACGCTCGTGATATGGGGTCACACTCTGCGGCGTCTTTCTTAAAAACATAAATTCAACATATAATAAGTAATAATTTGAAAATGTACACATACAATTGTAACGGAAGGGCGAAGGGCGATTAAAACAAATGATCATTCATGTTTTCATAACCGCTGGCCAAATTCAAAAACAAAACTAAAATTAAATCATATTTGAGAGCAAGGGTTCCCCCTGGTGTTTCGGGGGCCCTACGCAGCTTGCGTATTTTGCGTATAGGGAGGATTGGCTCTGGCTACATTTATTGCTCTCCTTCTCATACCCCCTCGTTTGAAGTGGGGTCCCGAAAAATCTTTATTTGATGGGCTGTCTGGCTTTTACCCAGTTTTCCACTGGGTACAGTACCTGGTACTTTTTTCAGTACAACCTCGACTGAGGTTCCAAGCGAGCCATACCGTTACCAAAATGTGATGTGTAAACCCTGCTGATCACTGATTGGCCGGAGAGTATCATCACTACCTGCATCATTGAACTTGTGATACAAGACACCAGACCAGCTAGATTTAAAGTGCCCCTATTATGCCATTTCCAATATTGCCTTTCATGCAATGTGTAATGTAGCTGTATGTGAATGTAAACGATCTGCAAAGTTGTAAAGCTGAAAGTGCACAATAAATAAAGTTATTGACTCTCAAAATAAAGAATCGAATCTGAACAGCTGAAACGAGTCATTAGTAATTCGAAACCGCCTTCCGTGACGGCTACACGTCATGGGGTAACACATTTGCATAATGCGCGCCTATGTTCTGCGTTGGCCGGCCACAAACAACTTGACCTCGCCCACAAACACGTCATGCTACTGACAACTGCTTCTCTTATCTCGGGGAGTTCCACGGGTTGTACGGCGTAGACCAGTCACAACAGTCTAGGCCATCTGACCAATCAGAGCAGGCTCACGGAAAGGAGGGGTTTAGAGAGACGGAATCTTTGAACTGCTTCGGATGAATCGTTTGAGAATCGCTGGAAAATGAGGTGATATTAAATGCATATTTTGAGAAAACGAAAGCGTTTTTTTGACTTTGCATGCATGTAATCCTATTGTAGGAGACTCCCAAAACAATATTAGGAACCCTAAAAATGGCATAATAGGGGCACTTGAAATCAACACAGCCAGTGAAGGATCAAACGCTATTTTTTTTTTTTTTTTTAACGAATCCAACTGTTTTGAACGAGTGCACCTTTTTTTAAACAATCAAAAAATGTTTTGTGGACTGTTGAGGAAGTACAGACGTCTCTCTCATTGATAGCCGAGGAGCGGATCCAGCGAGAGCTTGATGAGGCGACGCATAATAAAAAAAGTTTTTCAAGAGGTCACTCAGCTCTTGGCCGCGACGTGTATAATCCCGCCCACTTAAAGTGGTACTAAACTGCAGTGGAAACGTAAACCGTGCCGAGCCGTACCGCGCCGAGTCGTACCACCAGCGCCATATGAGTGCAGCTTAAATAGGCTGACTGATTAGAAACAAGTGTGTAAGTGATTAGTCCTAGGCAGAGGGTTTATGGGAAATGAGTCCAGTCTGAATGGTTATGGAGACCTCTGGTGGTAGTGGGAGTGGGAGGAATGACAGGGACCGGATTCGTGACAACAATCTACTCCATTGTACTGTAAAAGTTTGCCGCCTTTTTATTCAGCTAAGAGGTCACACCGTGACTTATCGATCTCCTATTAGTCACATGTCTTTAGGGCTGCAACAAATGATTATTTTGATAATCCATTAATCTAATGATTATTAGAGCAATTAATCGACTAATCGTCAATTATTCCAACCACAAATCAGTACGTTTTGAATGATTATTCAGCTTTAGCAATTATTTAAAACGTTGAGTTATGCATATTCAACTAATAAATAAAACAAAAAAAATCGCTTTAGCTTTTGAAATAGTTGTTTTAATGAACTTTGAGCCAAGTAAACAGGTCATTCTCTTTAAGTTTTCTGACTCTGCCAACTCAAAAAAAAAAATCACACACAAATTCTCTTTAATTATTGTTTAATTATTTTGTTCACTTTCAACAGAATTTTTTTTTTTTTAGCGTTTTTAGCTATCTTAAAACACCAGGCGCTCTGCTGAAAGCGCTCAGCTGTGAGCGTTGAGACGCCGGTCTATGTGGGTTCACGAGATTTTGAGGGCATCTCGAAAACATCTTGATGAGTACCATTTTTTTGGTCCAAGAACTGAAGTTGGACGGAAGCCAGTTCAAGAAGTACTGTACTGTGTAGTATATTTGCACCCCCCGCCCCTCCTCTATTCTGATTGGACGGCTGACTGCGTTTTATCCAAAGTTGAAAAAAACGCCCGAGTGCTCAGCGTGAAAAAGACACTCGGCACGCTTTCTGCCGTTTTAAAAAACGCGGCACTCCCATTGAATACATTTGAAAAAATATGCTAGCCTCTGGAAAAAATGCTTTGGTGGACACGGGGCCTAAGAGGTTTTAAGGGGCTTTTACTTCAGGACACATAGAATGGTAAATATGAACCTATTGAGAAGCAGTGCATTTGTGACTGAAAAGTACTGTGTGCGACTATAAAAAAATATTTAAGAGCACCAGTGCAAATCACCCAATCAGCATATTTGTGTTTGCGCTGAGCGGAGCTTCAAAGGATTCTAACGTACTTGCGTGTTTTTGCAGCGGTAATGTATCACAGACATATCTGTTTAATCAGAATCCACTCACTGCTCAAAACGCTTTGTTCAGTGCGGAGTTCTGCAAGCTCACGAATCCTCTCATTATAAAGTGTAGACGGTGCAAATAAGAGATTCACTGTGCAGTGAAGAGCTGCGTTAATTATAATGGAACTTTTTGAGAATTGAGGAGAGTGACGGCTTTTAATTATTAAGGGAGTTTGCAAATTATATTCATTTAATACAACAGTTCATTAAACAAGAAGTTAATATTAAGTGACTTGCATTGTCTAAACACTAATGCCGGATTTTGCTCTATTTTGTCAACGAAAATAGTTTCAAACAAAGTAACAGCTGAGCCGCTGCGCATCTCCATTCAAACACAGCGTTGTTTCGTTTATGTATGAATGGGCATTTTTAAACGCTTGCTTCATTCCACAAGTGCTCCTAAAAAGAAAAGTAAGCGTAGAGCCCTGTTTAACCACTTTTTATTAATTTAAAAATTATTTCAAATTGAAATCTTTTACAAGAATTACAGCAAAAACCAGTTTGATGCAAGAATATACAGTATATCTTTATCAATATTTGAGAAATTCAAAATTCCCTTGAACACGACTGCTCAAAATGGTCTAAATTTATGAAACCTACACATTCAAAACCTCATTACTCTAAAAATTTTCATGTAAATGTTAAGTGTAAGTGAAATGGTAAGTACTGTAAGAGGTCTTTCATGAAGCTACATATGCTGGGGTGTGAATTTGATAGGTGCTTGATATAAAATAAATGGTGCTTTAAAAAGTCCTTAAGTCCTTGAATCTGGTGTTCATGAAAGAGTGGGAACCCTGTAATTAACAGTATGAAAAAGTAACTGACATGATAAAGCTTTATTTTATGCAAACCGAGTCGTCACGTTACTGTAAATATATTATTGTTGTTGCTATTTTTGTATTTTCTAATAAAAACATTTACCACTAGTTAGTTGGCTCCAGCTCACGTTTAGGTTTAGTGCTCCAACATGCACGTTGTGCTCCTGTGAAATGCAAGTCTTGCATGTATTGCACACAACAGCATTCTTGGTTTTAAGTTTTGTGGAACTTTCCCACACCTTGCTAGTTCAGATTCATTTGCACTACATCATAGGCCCTGTCCCAAATGGCACCCTAAACCCTCAGGGTCTTCCTCTGAGTCCGCACTTTTGTGACATAATGCCGCTTTGACTGTCGGGTAGAAGTACTGGTGTAAAAGTACTTGTCCAAAAAACTACTTGAGTAAGAGTAAAAGAGTAGCCTATTTAAAAGTACTCATGAATATTGAGTAGTGAGTACTGAGCTGTGGATTCTATCCGCTCATAATAAACGCTGTACACTGCAATTTATACATTTTAAAAACGTTGTACATTCTGTAATTCACATTATCTTGTTTGTCATAAAGAATGAAGAGTATCTATCATCCAGCATTTTGACTGTCAACTCTTTAAAATACATCAGAACAGCACGGAAACAGTATTCAGTCGAAGAAAAGATGAAAGTTATTCTCAGTACAATCATCCCCATTTATATCATAAAGTTTGAAAAAATAGATTTAAAATCATGTGTAAGGCCACTGAGACAGCATATGCTGTTGTTGCACATCAAATATTAATGTTTAGAACAGTGCAAATACAAACACCATTAGAAACTCATAGTTCAACATCACACACCATGATATGGGTTAAAATGAGAGCCCATTTCTCTCCAAAACGGTGCCAGTTTGAGCGTTTTGCAATAAAGAAATAAAAATAACTAAACTTGATAATTTGTTACAATTTTAACATAAATGCACATTGTTCTAGAAGGATGGAATACCTTTTACACATTTACTCGAATTGTTATACAATTGATAATACAATTTGTAAGGATAAATGCATTAAATAGCGAGGTATTTCTGGGGAAACTTTTTCAAAGGAAAACACACACACGGCGGTCTTGGTGAATCAGCAGCATCCACAACTGAACGGAACAAAAAGTGTTGATCTTGAAAATTGTTTATGCGTGAGTGCACTTGCTAAATGAAGGTGGATTGTATAAAATACTAAACTAATGTTTTAAAAATAATAACTGAAAGATCAATGTACAGGGAAGTTTCAGAGACATATAATTAGTTTATAAAATTGCATTAGGGCTCACTTTTCTGTCCTTTCAATTCATAATCCTGTTTTTGAATTTTTTTGTTTTACTGAAAATGTAAACTCTTTTTTTTTTCTCATTTCAGACCCGATGGAGGAGAACGAGGAGAGTGAAGAACTGAGTGAAGTGGAGGAGAAACCTCATGTCAAACCTGAAGAAAAACCTTTGAGTCACTCAAAAACTAAAAAGACAGTTTTAAAGAAAAAAAGACCTGAGAAATCTTTCAGCTGCACTGAGTGTGGAACGAGTTTCACATACAAAAACGCTCTTGAGATTCACATGAGAATCCACACAGGAGAAAAGCCGCACGCATGTGATCAATGTGAAAAGAGTTTCCCATACAAACAAAGTCTTGTGTTTCACATGAGAGTTCATACTGGAGAGAAGCCGTTCACATGTGATCAGTGTGGAAAGAGTTTCATACATTCATCAAACTTTAAACGGCACATGAAGATCCACACTGGAGAAAAGCCGTTCACATGTGATCAATGTGGCAAAACATTTCTTAGGGCATCAGAACTGAAGACACACCTGATAGTTCATACGAAGGAGAAGCCACATTCATGTTCTTCATGTGGAAAGAGTTTTTCACAGCTGGAAAGTTTAAAATCCCATCAGAAATTACATAACGCTGTGAGAGATCATGTGTGCTTTACATGTGGGAAGACTTTTGCTTCAGTGAATGTTTTAAAACGGCACCAGAGGATTCACACTGGAGAAAAACCTTACAAGTGTTCACACTGTGACAAGAGATTTCGTTGGTCAGTAGATCTGAAAAGACATGAGACGTTCCACACTGGAGAGAAACCGCACACGTGTGATCAGTGCGGGAAGAGCTTCACACGCAAACAAAGTTTTAGAATCCACATGAGGATCCACACAGGAGAGAAGCCGTACGCATGTGATCAATGTGGAAAGAGTTTCACGTGTACATCAAACCTCAAAGGACACATGAAAATCCACACCGGAGAAAAGCCACATGCATGTGATCAATGCGGCAAAACATTTCTTGTTTCATCAGCCCTGAAGAAACACCTGACAGTTCATATGAAGGAGAAGCCATTTTCATGTTCTTTATGTGGAAAGAGTTTTTCATGGCAGCAAAGTTTAAAATCCCATCAGAAATTGCATAACGCTGTGAGAGATCATGTGTGCTTTCAGTGTGGGAAGACTTTTGCTTTGGTGAATCTTTTAAAACGGCACCAGATGAATCACACTGGAGAAAAACCTTACAAGTGTTCACACTGTGACAAGAGATTCAGTTGGTCAGTAGATCTGAAAAGTCATGAGACAATCCACACTGGAGAGAAACCACACACGTGTGATCAGTGCGGGAAGAGCTTCACACGCAAACAAAGTCTTCGAGCACACATGAGGGTCTCACCGTCAGTGATTTCACCAATAAATGCTGGAATTTTCCCATCAGTTTACAAGTGCAGACAAGCATCAAACCATCAGGAAGAAATGAAATTTGCAAAGACTGAGTTTATTAAAGAGGAAAGTGAGAACATGAGTGATCCAGAACCCTGCAGAATGAAACACACTGAAGAACAGCGAGGTTGGTGTTTATTCTTGATTCTTCATTCATTCATGATGCTGAAGGACATTAATGTTATAAAGCTTCAAGCAGTTTTTCAGATTTAGATAAATATTTTAACTATGAAATGGGTACAAAGTTTTCTTCATATTTAGGTTTTGAAATTTCAACAGACACTGAAATGCTCGTGATATGGCGTCACACTCTGCGGCGTCTTTCTTAAAAACATAAATTCAGCATATAATAAATAATAATTTGAAAATGTACACATATACAATTGTAACGGAAGGGCGTGACATCGGAGTTGGACATCCACGTAGGGCTGTGATGGTATGGGATTTTTTCTTACCGCGGTGAAGAAGCAACAAATCATGCGGTTTGGCAGTTTAGCGCACTTGTTTTTAATAACGACCTTTTTTAAAGTGCAACATAAAAGAGGCTTTTTTCTGATTTGGGTTTTTCAAGGTGCAACATAAAAAGGGAACATCAGGCTATAGTCTGCACAAGGTTATGTTCCGTATCTGCACCCACCCGCTCCCGCTATATATTCACTCTTTGTTCACCCGCTGTCCGCTTGGAATAATTTTCTTCCTGATCCGACCGTTCCTGCTAAATGTAGATCTCGTTTCCAGAATCTCACATTTAAATTTCCACTACTGAAAGAGTGAGATAACAAATAAAAATGTAGTCTGCACAAAAATTGTATTTATTTTATTCGTCTTGTCCAGAATCAAATTAATTTTACATTTTGCTGTCAACACAATGGGAAAAAGTGTTGCAGTGAAAAAAAATGTAGGTTGTACAAAAATTGTAGCCTATTTGTTATTTTTATTTGTCTGGTCAAAATACAAAATTCGTTTAACATTTTGCTGTCAACACAGTAGGAAAAGTGTCGCATAGGAAAAAAAAAAACAACATCGGACATTTAAAATTATAAGCAAAATATGAACAAAACCGTTGGTTTGTAGCCATTGCGAAATGAAATCACTTTTTAACCAAACAATTTAACATCTGTAATGGACAAATGTTACTTGGTTTTATTATTGTACTTTAGCTCCTTTATTCTTGTTGATTTCATAGTATGATGTATTTAAGTCACATGTAGTACCACTAGGAGCACATTGAGGGCGCTAATGCCTGGAGGTATCCGGACATATAAGCTCGGCCACCACAGAGTAAGTCAGTTCGTTTGGTAGAGGGAGGCCATACGGTTGAACTCGGGCTACCGGCTTGCTCTTTGAAAGTCCTTGGTTGAGAACTCTTTGAGTTTCTGCTCAACTATGAGTATGGTTTGATTTATGTACCTGACAACATGTCTTTAAAATGAATTTACTGATGTCAGACATTTGCTTTCTTTTAGAAAGGACTTTATTTTTCTGTCTATTCAATTCAATTCAAGTTCATCTGTATAGCTATTTTTACGATACAAATTGTTGCAAAGCAACTTTACAGAAAATTAAGTTTCTACAATATTTAGTAGTAGCTTATCAGTGGTGACTGTCAGTTTATATACATATGGCTGAAATGTACGGAAAAATCAATTAAAGATTTAATCAAACAGACGATGAATTATATAAAGGTTAGAATTTAATTTGCATTACAGTGAGTGAAATAAGTATTTGATCCCCAAGCAAAACATGACTTATTAATTGGTGCAGAAAACCCTTGTTGGCAAGCACAGAGGTAAGACATTTTTTGTAGTTGGTCACCAGGTTTGCACACATCTCATGGAGGAGGAAGGATTTTGATCCACTCTTCTTTACAGATCCTCTCTAAATCCTTAAGGTTTCTTGGCTGTCATTTGGCAACTCGAACCTTCAGCTCCCTCCACAGATTTTCTATAGGATTGTGGTTTGGAGACTGGCCAAGCCACTCCATGACCTTAATGTGCTTCTTCTTGTGCCACTCCTTTTTTGCATTGGTAGTATGTTTTTCGGGTCAGTGTCATGCTGGAAGACCCGTCCATGACCAATCTTCAGTGATCTGGCTGAGGGAAGGAGGTTCTAGTCCAAGATTTTACAGTACATGGCCCCGTCCATTTGCCCCTCAATGCGGTGAAGTCGTCCTGTACACTTAGCAGAAAAACAGCCCCAAAGCATAATGTTTCCACCTCTGTGCTTGACTGTAAGGGAGGGTGTTCTTGGGATATAGTCAGCATTTCTCTCCCTCCAAACACGGCGAGACGAGTTGATGCCAAAGAGCTCAATTTTGGTCTCATCTGACCACAACACTTTCTCCCAAGCCTTCTCTGAATCATTTAGATGTTCATTTGCAAACTTTAAACGGGCCTGTACATGTTCCTTCTTGAGCAGGGGGACCTTGTGGGCGCTGCAGGATTTTAGTCCATTGCGGCGTAGCATGTTACCAATGGTTTGCTTGTTGACTGTGGTCCCAACTGCCTCATTAACAAGCTCCTCCCGTGTAGTTCGGGGCTGATCCCTCACCTTTCTCATGATCATCCTTACTCCATGAGGCAAGATCTTGCACGGAGCTCCAGAACGAGGCCGATTGATGGTTGTTTTGTGTTTCTTCCATTTCTGAATAATCGCACCAACAGTTGTCTCCTCCTCACCAAGCTTCTTGCTGATGGTCTTGTAGCCCATTCCAGCCTTGTGCAGATCTACAATCTTGTCTCTGACATCCTTTGACAGCTCTTTGGTCTTGCCCATGGTGGTGGGAGAGGTTGGAATGGAAGATACAGATTGTGTGGACAGGTGTCTTATACACCTAATGAGCTGACATTAGGAGTAACTTCTTAAAGTGACAGGACTAATCTGTGCTCCATATGGGCACATAACCAATCTGTGGTAGCCAGAATTCTTGCTGGTTTGTAGGGAATCAAATACTTATTTTACTCACTGAAATGCAAATCAATTTCTAACCTTTGTTTTTTTTTCTGGATTTTTTGGTTGATATTCTGTCTATCCGTTAAAATAAACCTACCATAAAAATTACAGACCCTTCATTTCTTTGTAAGTGGGCAAACTTGCAAAATCAGCAGGGGATCAAATAAATATTTTCCCCACTGTACATAGAAATCTGTAACAGAAACTTAATTAAACAGAAACTTACATCTGTATGATTTTGCTGTAAAAGCCATCTCCCACTGATGATGCATTTAGTCAGTGTGTGCCTCTTCTCTTGCATTTTATGACGGTTGAAAACAGCGCGTGCCTCAAGGTGAATTATGGATATTGTCTAGCCGTTGAGTATACATTGGTTGTACACTCGTTATTGTGGTGCACTGTGGGTTTGAATGAGTGCACTCGAGAACATCCACTATGGTTTCGAACACCACTAAAAATGGCTGCCCACTCAAATAGTGCACTGAGGGTATGGGGGTGATTTCAGATACAGCCGATGTGAGTTCAAGTTTTTGTATAGCGCTTTTTACGATACAAATCGTTGCAAAGCAACTTTACAGAAAATTAAGTTTCTACAATGTCTAGTAGTAGCTTATCAGTGGTGACTGTCAGTTTATGTACATATGGCAGAAATGTACGGAAAAATCAAAGACGCAATCAGCTAGCCGCTGCATTTTGGACTACCTGTAGCTTGTTTATTGAAGATGCAGGACAACCAGCTAGCAGTGCATTACAATAGTCCAGCCTAGAGGTCATGAATGCATGAACTAGCTTTTCTGCATCAGAAACAGGTAACATGTTTCGTAGCTTGGCAATGTTTCTAAGATGGAAGAATGCTGTTTTTGTAACATGGGAAATATGATTTTCAAAAGACAAGTTGCTGTCTAATATAACACCCAGATTTTTGACTCTATGACTCTCTCTCCTCCATTGTACTGTGGCTGCCATCGCATCATCCAGGTGGATGCTGCACACTGGTGGTGGTTGAGGAGAGACCCCACCCACATTATTGTAAAGCGCTTTGGGCGTACAACAATACACAATAAAACGCTATAGAAATGCATCATTCATTCCTCCGTCATTAAAAATGGCTTCTATCACTCCAATTCTTAAAAAGACTGGTGCTGATCCTAATGATCTAAATAATTACTGGCCTATTTCTAATCTCCCTTTTATTTCAAAAACACTTGAAAAGAACAGTAGCAGCTCAACTTGAATCACATCTGCAAAGTAATGACATTTACGAGCATTTTCAATCAGGTTTCCGACCCAAACATATTACAGAAACAGCTCTTGTTAAGGTTATAAATTATCTTCTCCTAGCTGCTGATTCTGGTCTTCTGTCTATTCTTATTCTTTTAGATATTAGTGCTGCCTTTGATACTATTAGTCATTCAGTATTATTGAAACGGCTGGCTTGCATAGGAATAGCTGATAATGCGCTTCTTTGGTTTTCATCTTATTTAAGTGACCGAAAACAGTTTGTGCATATTAAGAATACATGTTCAGATCCTTTCTCAGTTACTCATGCCATTCCACAGGGGTCAGTGTTGGGTCCACTTTTATTCATCATTTATATTCTACCTCTTGGTCGTATTTTTCGTTCTTATGGTATTGATATCCATATTTATGCTGACAACACACACAAGTATATTTCTACAAGACCTAATGTTTCTCATCCCCCTCCTGACCTTACTAAATGTTTGCAGGACATTAATATTTGGATGACAAATAATTTTTTTATTAAGTTAAATGCCTCCATGTGGGTTCTAGGTATGTTTGATCTAAAACTCAATCCTTTACCTTGTTTATTGACAATTGCTGTTAATTTTTCTACCCATGTGAAAAGTCTTGGGGTTATGAAAAATTAAAAAATTACAGCAGTATAAAACCCACAGACCAGCAATAAAATGTAAATGTATAATATCATGGATTTAAAAGTACAAGTCACACGATCTTATACAGCTAGTCAACTAACTGTGTTCTGTAGCATCTGCACTATGTTGCTAAAACTATCTTTTGGATCTAACTGTAATTATTTCCCATATCCAAGTTCCAGGTTATAATATGCTAAAGACTAAACATTAATCTCTTAATTTTACAGTAAGTAGAGAAACTTACCCAAAATAAAGGCTTAAACATCTTAAAATGCACATTTAAAGGGATTCTCTTTTGGTAAAAGTTGTCAGACAGCTTTCAAAATGGCCACCAGACAGAGTGAACACATGAATACCCATATCTCATGATATATACTGCTATATACATGAAATCCCAATGGAAGTGTGCTTAATGGGTACGTTTACCCTAATTGTGTCATTGATCAAAAATATTTAATAGTTCTAACTACAGAAACACTACACTACATGAGCCTATAATGCTTTAAAAATAATTGGATGATCAATGTACCTAATTCATGCAAAGTTTTGTAAAATATTGTAATATTTTATAACAGTTGTCTATTTTCTGCGATTACATGAGGGCTCACTTTTCTGTCTTTTCAATTCAGATTCCTGTTTTTGAATTATTTTGGTTTAGGTAAACTTTTTTTTAAATTTTCTTTCTTTTCAGACCCGATAGAGGAGAAGGAGGAGAGTGAAGAACTGAGTGAAGTGGAGGAGAAACCTCATGGCATTACAATAGTCCAGCCTAGAGGTCATGAATGCATGAACTAGCTTTTCTGCATCAGAAACAGGTAACATGTTTCGTAGCTTGGCAATGTTTCTAAGATGGAAGAATGCTGTTTTTGTAACATGGGAAATATGATTTTCAAAAGACAAGTTGCTGTCTAATATAACACCCAGATTTTTGACTCTATGACTCTCTCTCCTCCATTGTACTGTGGCTGCCATCGCATCATCCAGGTGGATGCTGCACACTGGTGGTGGTTGAGGAGAGACCCCACCCACATTATTGTAAAGCGCTTTGGGCGTACAACAATACACAATAAAACGCTATAGAAATGCATCATTCATTCCTCCGTCATTAAAAATGGCTTCTATCACTCCAATTCTTAAAAAGACTGGTGCTGATCCTAATGATCTAAATAATTACTGGCCTATTTCTAATCTCCCTTTTATTTCAAAAACACTTGAAAAGAACAGTAGCAGCTCAACTTGAATCACATCTGCAAAGTAATGACATTTACGAGCATTTTCAATCAGGTTTCCGACCCAAACATATTACAGAAACAGCTCTTGTTAAGGTTATAAATTATCTTCTCCTAGCTGCTGATTCTGGTCTTCTGTCTATTCTTATTCTTTTAGATATTAGTGCTGCCTTTGATACTATTAGTCATTCAGTATTATTGAAACGGCTGGCTTGCATAGGAATAGCTGATAATGCGCTTCTTTGGTTTTCATCTTATTTAAGTGACCGAAAACAGTTTGTGCATATTAAGAATACATGTTCAGATCCTTTCTCAGTTACTCATGCCATTCCACAGGGGTCAGTGTTGGGTCCACTTTTATTCATCATTTATATTCTACCTCTTGGTCGTATTTTTCGTTCTTATGGTATTGATATCCATATTTATGCTGACAACACACACAAGTATATTTCTACAAGACCTAATGTTTCTCATCCCCCTCCTGACCTTACTAAATGTTTGCAGGACATTAATATTTGGATGACAAATAATTTTTTTTATTAAGTTAAATGCCTCCATGTGGGTTCTAGGTATGTTTGATCTAAAACTCAATCCTTTACCTTGTTTATTGACAATTGCTGTTAATTTTTCTACCCATGTGAAAAGTCTTGGGGTTATGAAAAATTAAAAAATTACAGCAGTATAAAACCCACAGACCAGCAATAAAATGTAAATGTATAATATCATGGATTTAAAAGTACAAGTCACACAATCTTATACAGCTAGTCAACTAACTGTGTTCTGTAGCATCTGCACTATGTTGCTAAAACTATCTTTTGGATCTAACTGTAACTATTTCCCATATCCGTGTTCCTGGTTATAATATGCAAAAGACTAAACATTAATCTCTTAATTTTACAGTAAGTAGAGAAACTTACCCAAAATAAAGGCTTAAACATCTAAAAATGCACATTTGAAGGTATCCTCTTTTGGTAAAAGTTGTCAGACAGCTTTCAAAATGGCCACCAGACAGAGTGAACACATGAATACCCATATCTCATGATATATACTGCTATATACATGAAATCCCAATGGAAGTGTGCTTAATGGGTACGTTTACCCTAATTGTGTCATTGATCAAAAATATTTAATAGTTCTAACTACAGAAACACTACACTACATGAGCCTATAATGCTTTAAAAATAATTGGATGATCAATGTACCTAATTCATGCAAAGTTTTGTAAAATATTGTAATATTTTATAACAGTTGTCTATTTTCTGCGATTACATGAGGGCTCACTTTTCTGTCTTTTCAATTCAGATTCCTGTTTTTGAATTATTTTGGTTTAGGTAAACTTTTTTTTAAATTTTCTTTCTTTTCAGACCCGATAGAGGAGAAGGAGGAGAGTGAAGAACTGAGTGAAGTGGAGGAGAAACCTCATGTCCAACCTGAAGAGAAACCTCTGAGTCACTCGAAAACTAAAAATAAATTTAAGAAAAGAAGACCTGAGAAATCTTTCAGCTGCACTGAGTGTGGAACGAGTTTCACATACAAAAACGCTCTTGAGATTCACATGAGAATCCACACAGGAGAAAAGCCGCACGCATGTGATCAATGTGAAAAGAGTTTCCCATACAAACAAAGTCTTAAGGTTCACATGAGAGTTCATACTGGAGAGAGACCGTATGCATGTGATCAATGTGGAAAGAGTTTCCCATACAGACGAAGTCTTGTGTTTCACATGAGAGTTCATACTGGAGAGAAGCCGTTCACATGTGATCAGTGTGGAAAGAGTTTCATACATTCATCAAACTTTAAACGGCACATGAAGATCCACACTGGAGAAAAGCCGTTCACATGTGATCAATGTGGCAAAACATTTCTTAGGGCATCACAACTGAAGACACACTTGATAGTTCATACGAAGGAGAAGCCACATTCATGTTCTTCATGTGGAAAGAGTTTTTCACAGCTGGAAAGTTTAAAATCCCATCAGAAATTACATAATGCTGTGAGGGATTATGTGTGCTTTGCATGTGGGAAGACTTTTGCTTCAGTGAATGTTTTAAAACGGCACCAGAGGATTCACACTGGAGAAAAACCTTACAAGTGTTCACAATGTGACAAGAGATTTCGTTGGTCAGTAGATCTGAAAAGACATGAGCAGATCCACACTGGGGAGAAACCGCACACGTGTGATCAGTGCGGGAAGAGCTTCACACGAAAACAAAGTTTTAGAGTCCACATGAGAATCCACACAGGAGAGAAGCCGTACGCATGTGATCAATGTGGAAAGAGTTTCTCATTAAAACAAAGTTTTGATGTTCACATGAGAATCCACACCGGAGAAAAGCCGTACGCATGTGATCAATGCGGCAAAACATTTCTTGATTCATCAGCCTTGAAGAAACACCTGACCGTTCATACGAAAGAGAAGCCACATTCATGTTCTTTATGTGGGAAGAGTTTTTCACGGCTGGAGGGTTTAAAATCCCATCAGAAATTCCATAATGCTGTGAGAGATTATGTGTGCTTTGCATGTGGGAAGACTTTTGCTTCAGTGAATAAACTTAACCTTGAAAATAATGTAGAGTCCATCAATAAGAAGGCAAGACAACGGCTTGGTCGTCTTAGAAAACTGTGGAGTTTTAACATTAGTACACACGGTAACTATGGCATATAGATCTATGATTGAGAGCATTCTCACATATAATATTGTCTCATGGTATGGTAATACAACATTTAAACAGAAGAGCAAACTATTAACAAATTATTAATAGGCAAATAAGATTACTGGGCATAAACAACACTTGGGCTTATTTCATTATATTTGTGGGGAAAATACAGCAATTGCGATTTGTTAAAATAATATCCACCCCCTTCATTCTGCTTTTGAGACTCAAAATTCCTTTAGCCAGGTTCCTCTGCCCTATTTATAGTCTCCTGTCTGTTCAGTTTGCTGTCGGTTATTGTTAGGTGTCATATGTGTTCGATTTACCTTAAGTATTTACCTTTCGTGTATCGTGTGGATTATAATTAAAAGCATTTATGTGGATTACCTTCATCTTCCTTGCCTTCCTTGGACCTACCGTGACAGAATAACCGACCACAAAGGATGAGACTAGAACTGGCCTCAATTAACGTAGCCCCGAAGGGCAGTGTTCATAGCCCTTCAGGGGCTACAATCCTCATTTTTCAAGATGGACGTGACCTGGAGGACTATGTGCAGGAGTTTTTGGTCAGTTGCCATCTCGCCACATTTGATGACCTCAACTTAATGGAGGGATTCTGGTGCGGGCTGGAAGACGAGATCCGCTTCGTCATGCCCCGAGCTGATCCGTGCTGGTCGCTTATGAA